GGGTGGGGGGCGGGATTGTATTATCTGTGCTGTGACATCATGATGTAAGTGTGACAGGATGAAGCTTCCCCTGTGTTGTCACAAACACATTTTGTCGTCATGCTTGGGAGCCCAACTCTATCTGTCTGTCTGTCTGTCTGTCTGTCTGTCTGTCTATCTATCATTAAACTTGTATGCCACCTGATTCCCAGCAACTTTATTTCTCCACCCTCGTGGTGTGTAGAACACATAGATTTATATTACCAGCCCTCTTGTATGAGTCAGGGTTTATTATCACTTACATCCTACATTTTCACTGGTTTATAATGATACCTATTTCTACTGTACCATGATAGGCAGGGGGTTATATTGTTGTTGTTGATGATGATGATTTCAGCCCGCCTCTTTCACCATCCTCTAACATTTATCAATTAACCTATAAAACCTTATCCCAGTGTTGTGTATCTAGTCAACAGAAGTGGAGAAGAGATCCAAATTCTTCCACATGTTCTTAAATGATGGGATATCAACAATTCACACTGACATCGAATGGGCTCAGTGTCTTGAATTTGAAGTTAAGCATATTTAGATATACTTGGAAAGTTTCTTAGCAGGGTACATCCCTACGCAGGAGCATCCACAGAAGGGGGCCAAAAAACCAAGATTGGTGGGCATGATGGCACAATCAAACCCTGCCACTTTGTATGTGTTTGTGATGATGATGTATGAACAAAGGAGTGGAACTTTGGTTATGTCCTCCATCTTGGAGTTGTGCGTAATGTCACCCAGAAGCAGGTCTACGAACGCAATTGTTTCTGATGATACTCCAAGCAAAAAGAGGGAAGAAGAAGCAAGTGGAAAAACAGAGCATGTTTGTCTAGAAAGAGGTGTAAAAGAGCGGTCTGGAGGCTCCTCTGGCCTTCCAACATCCCTTCAACAGCCACAGGAGAAGTGTGTAACCCAACGTGGATCTGGTCAAAATGTCATTTTTTGAAGTTTTGGAGGGAAGTTAAATGGGTGCTTTAAGCCTTGCAGAGTGTGACCTTTGACCTCTTCTGCAAAAGCTGCTGCCATCTTCAACCCAGTGGAAGTCCCAAACCTTCTGAGCTGGATGTTAAGCAGCATTAATCTCAACCAGGGCTTCATTTTCCACTATCAAGGTTTCTAGCTGTAGTCACTTAAGCACCCTTGAACATCTCCTTCAGTATTTGTAATGTCTTTTATTCCTCCCTTACCCCCACAGTTATTACTAGCAGGTCTGGAGTGAGATACAGAAAGCCAAAGAATACTGAAAGGAAATCAGTATGTGCTTTATTGATTATGGAAAGGCCTTCTATTGCATCAATCATGTCAAGCTGCAGAATGAGCCTAGACAAATGGGACAAATGGGATCTCGTTGTCGTCATGCAAAATCTATACATAGATCAGGAAGCCACAGTAGAGACAGAACATGGCGAAACAGGCTCCAGGTTGCCGAAGGAGTGAGACAAGGCTTTACGGTCTTCCCTTATTTATTGAGTCTATATGTACTATATATATTGAGGGAAACTGGACTAGAAAAGGATGAACATGCTTTTAAAACTGAAGGGAGAAACATCAGTAACCTGCACAGTGCTGATGACGCTACTCTGATAGCTGAAAACGCAGATCATATGCAAGTCTAGTAATGCAAGTCAAGCACAATGAAAAAATTGGACTAAAATGGAACCAGGTTATTTGAGGGACTGTCTTTCCCCAATTACATCTACCGATCCCATTAGGTCCAGCAGAAGAGGCATGCTCTGGGCCCCGTCTGCTCGGGAGTGCCATCTGGTGGGGCCCAGGAAGAGAGCCTTTTCTGCTGTGGCCCCCACCCTTTGGAACATCATCCCCCTCAGAGATCAGATTGGCCTCAACCCTACTGGCTTTCCATAAGGCCCTCAAGACTTGGTTTTGCCATCAGGCGTGGGGATGCGGGCGTGTGGTAGAGTCTGTATAGTGACTGTGTTGTTTATTGTTGATGGATATATCTTGGCTATGGACTATGTCATATGGTTTTTTATATGGTTTTTTTTAATATTGTTTCATACTGTTTTTATATCTCTGCTTTTGTATTGTTTTTAATTGCCGTGAGCACCCAGAGTCATATATTTGAGGTGGGTGGCTATATAAATTGAAATAATAAATTAATTAATTAATAAAATATAAAGTAGACCAAGCTAATGACAAACAGATACTACAAACAGTCTTAGAACTGGCATGAAGATATTCAAGGGGTGGATAGCACCTGCCTTTTAAGATCAACTATCAACAATAAAGGAACCAGCATTCAAGAAATACACTACAGACTAGCACTTGGTAGAATAGCCATGAAGACTTTTGAAAAGATATTTAGACACTACAGATATCAGATATGGTTTTCTCTGTGACGCTCTATGGAAGGGAATGTTGGACTTTGAAGAAGTAGGATAGAATATAGACACTTTTAAACTTTGGTGCTGGAGAAGAACCCTGAGAATACCATGGGGAGCCAAAAGAAATCAACCCAATGGATCATAGAACAAGTCAATTCAGAATTCTCACTTGAGGCTCAAGTGACCAGGCTCAGATTCTCATACTTCAAAGAAGACAACCAGCAGCAAAGTGGATGGACTCAATTATAGTACTTTTGGAAGACCTGAAGGATCATATTGGTGATAGATTGTCCTGCAGAAAATCTGTCTACATGGTCTCTAAGAGTTAATACTAACCTGATGGCACATAATCAATCAATCAATGAGATACAGAAAATCTTGGCAGATAAAACAAGTTTGCAAAACAGGTTACCTTTATTGGCTGTGTTCTGTGTTGTGTTTGAGTACCTGCAGTGCAGGATATTTCTAGGGAAATTGATTAGGGAATGATCTTCCTATTCACTTTTATGTTTTGACTCTCAGAGTTCTGCCTTTATCTTGAATAAATGTGATGTCATTCAGTCTCACCAATTTGCCTTCTGTAAAATGGAAGCTGGTGACCAGCCCTCACGTAGCATATCAGTACAAGCATATTGTGAATGAGATACAATCAAACCCTGTTTCAAACACATCCACCATTTTGCAGTTGCAGCCTCAAGACTTGAGAATTACTACATACTGTAGAAAACCAGCCATTGCTCAGGCTTAAAAACAGCTTGTCTCTTGCACTCTAGAAACTGTGGTGGAAAAAAAGATCAAGGGAAAAATGTATGTAAATTTATTTCTGTATTTATCAAATTTGTATACCATCTGCTGCCAGCAAAGCTAGGAGCATGTCATTGTTTTTAATACATGCGTATTTTTACTTTTGTTCCCAAGCCAGTTATAAAAGACAAGGCTCTTGTATCATTAATAGACTGCAGAAAAGGCAGTTGAGTAGACGTATGCTGGTTTTTTGTGTGTCACATTGATCCACAAACTTGCCAGCTACATTTTAGCCTAGAGTGATGTGCGAGGTTAGTTTATGATTCACTGTGTTGTGTGTACCTTGAAAATTGGATTGAAAAAAGCATAATTCAGCTAATCATGGAAAGTTTTTTGGTGTGCAAACACAGCCATTTGTTACAATATAAGATACAGATGCCAATTTTTGTGTGAACCAGATATCTGTGCTGATGTTGTCTACTCCACATAAAACTTTGAAGAACTTTTTTAAAAAAAACATTAAAGAGCATACTGATAGAACAAGTATTTTCCTAGTTCTGTTGATCCTGGAGGAGAAGCCCCCTCACAATTCATCCTCTTTTGGTTGCCTGCAGTATCAAAAACACACCAAAGATGATCTGAGATTTCCCAAAGCCCACAGAAAGGTGCATGTATCTGTAGATGAAAGGCAGATGACAAACTCATCAAGAGCTATCTAGATAAAAAGAGGGAGAGGATCTGGCCAATATCCTGTGAGCTTCTCAGCCATATCCGCTAGCATTATTTGTTTCATGAAACGCAAATTTCCTTTGCAAAAGGAAGACAGATCGGATATGGAGTGAGTCATTCAGACCTAATAAAGAAGGCTGATGTGGTAGGAGTTCGATTTAAAAAAAAAAAAATCTCAAAATTCATCCTGACATTAAAAGAAGGGCTGCTGATCTGCATCTTCTTAATAAGAGTTGTACTTAATAACTAAACTATTATTAATATTTTCTGCCTCTCCAAGAAAAGGCTACTCAAAAGGAAGCTTACAGGATTTTGAAACACAAGCATAAAAGTACCAAAATCTAGATAAAAACCTTGGGAATTAACAATTAGTTTATGGAGCACATCATGCACTGTGAAGGCAGGCTGAAGGAATTTGGGATGTTCAGCCTAAAGAAAAGAAGTCTTAGGGGAGACATGATAGCTGTGGTCAGCTACGTGAAAGGAAGCTACAGGGAAGATGGTCAAGAACTATTCTCCAGGGCCACAAAAACTAGGGCCAGAAATAATGTGGATAAGTTTCAGCTTCTTAGATTTTGGTTGAATGTAAGGAAGAACTTCCTGATGTAAGATCTGTACTATATATCAGTCAAACAATCTACCTGTGGAGGTTATAGGTTCTCCATCTCTGGAGGGTTTTAAAAAAGGTGCTGGACTGCCATCGCTCATGAATGGTTTATTGCAGAGGGTTCAGCTAGATGATCCTTGTGGTCACTTCCAGCTCTACAACTGTATGATCAGTAAAACTCAGGAGGAAATAGAGAGGTTTTAAGGGATGCCTGAAGGCAGAGACTGATATAGCTATAAGAAATAAGTCCTTATATCCCACATGGATATGCTGGCCTGTGTTCAAAATCCTTTCTCATCCTGACTAAATGTAAATGCACACATTTAGAATCATCAGGTTTAATAGCTTGTGGGTTGGCCATGTGGCTCTTCTCCAGTCCTCTAACATGGTCTTTTAATATCAGAACTCCTCCATTTATTTATTTATTTGCCATATTTATAAGCCATTCACTTTTGGCTAGCCAGCCTGAGGTGGTTAACAGAATAAATCAAAAAGAGCTTCAGTAAAATTCAACAATATCTTTAACTTTGCAGTATCAAATCCATAAATTAGCTCAGTACACAAAACCATGCCACAATACGAAACGTAAAACATCTGGGTTAAAAGACAAAAATCCTAAGAAAGGAAGGCTTGAATGTGATACTGAGCCTTTAGTCTCTTCTTGAATTTGACCAGGAAGGGACTAGTTTGCACTTTGCAGGGAAAGAACTCCATAAAGCAGGTGCTCCACAGAAAGTTCTTGTTCTAGTCAGTTCCACCAGGCTCTCTGCAGGTTGCAACCCACAAGCAAGCCTTTGAGGATAATAGGATGATGTTGTCAGAAAATTCAGCTACAATTGGTTACCGCTCCCCGTATGTTGAAGGGACATTGTGATTTGGAGGATTAGGAGTGGGACTTCAGAAATGTGTCCTGCACATGCCTAGATCTGTCTAAAAGAGGTTGAAAAGAATATGTGACCTGTCGACAATGGAATTACAAGAAGATTCCCTTCTTTGCAATCTATCAAATCAGCAAGCAATGAGCTTGAGAACATAGAAGAGAGTCAACCCAGTAGTTGATAGTGATATGTCCCACATAGCACAAAGAGGTATGTCGCTGTTGACCAATAGCAAGATTGACCCTCAGAATATTGAAACCATTTAAGAAGACCAACTTTTTCGTCTGATCCATATGACTAAAGCCAACAATGAGAAAGGCCATTTAGCCTTTCTAGTGCTGAATGTAAGGGTGAGCTCTTCTAGCAAATAGCGACAGGTTGAGCTCTTCTGTGAGGAAAACCATACCAGAGGTTCTTATGCTAAATTCAAATTTAAGATTGTTGGTTAAATTACTCCCTCTGCTGGAAAAAGGGAACAAAAGAGAACTTTTTTTCTGTTGGTTTTTTTTCCTTTTAATTAATCCTAAGAAACATGATTAATCATATACTTTGTGAAACCTGAATTCTTTTTCCTTTCTGGGCTTCACTGCACTGCAGGTTATATTTATACACAAACATTCAGCAGATTATGCATTTGCCTGCCTGATGAAATGGAAACAAGGAAATTTTTCCCTGCCAAGTTTCTGCTCTTTGACAGGGTGATGGGAGCTCAGACCGTTGGCAACCTTATTTCAAAATATCTCTTTATTTGAAATGCCTATATGCCATTCTTTACATGAAATTTTAGGCAACCTACAGTGTAAAAACAAATAATGCAATTAAGATTACAGCTAACGTAAAGCAGTTGTCCTGAACTTTAAAACAGATTAGTAACAATTTAATCAGAAGATGATAGCCATTTGTTAAGCATGGATTGTGGTTTTGGAAATTGCATATGTGTTTATGGTATGTGCAGTACTGCTTCAACGTAGTCGTTTGCAGGGATCCATAGTTTAATGTAACAGGATCAAAAGACAGTCCAAGTGGTTTAGACAGTCTGAACCATAGACCAGACAGCATAACCAGGTCAGCATCCAAGGAGAAGTTTGACGGCATTCCTAAGACAGTAAGGTGGAGAAGTAAAACATTTGACTCATCAAAGGCTAATTCACAAATGATGTTGTGACCCTGGTAGGCAGCAAACTGAAGGTTTCTTTGCATCACGCTAGATGGGCTGGTTTTTGCTAGTTAGAAGGCTAGAACCATGATGAGTTTTCATCATGAGCAAAACATCTCCCACTTCCTGTTTTCCGAAGCCTTTCAAAATGTGTTTTGTGAAGCCTCAGTTGTTCCTGTTGTCTCTCAATGGAATGCAACTGTGTGTCCTTGCTTGATCCATTTTCCCAAGGCAAGCTTGCCTTGTCCATTGTTTTGATCTGATTCAAAATGGTCTAAAGCAGGATTCTTCATACTCCCTTCTGTGGAACCCTAGGGTTCCATGGGAACTTGATGGGGTCCCATGAAAGACTAAGGGGGAAAATAATCACTTGAACACAGCCAGGGGCATCAATGGTGGTTTTTCTGAGGTACAGCTGAAAGGGTGAAAATGATGACCATGATCCTTACCTAGGAAAATGCTTCACGTGTGGGAAAAAAAATTGTGGTCCTTATTTTGCTCTGCTTTCTGCAAAGTCATCCTGCCCCAGTCCAGTCTTCTCCCCCTGTCCCCAAGCAAGGTCAGACAGAAGGCTTCAGGTGAAGAGGGCAGAAGCAGCCCTCCGGGCAGTGATTCCTAATTGGTCCTTTTAGCAGCATTTAGTGGCAGTTAGGACAAGTTTCATTTTATTGCCATTTTTCTCTTGTTTTGCCTCTTGTTCAGAAGTTCCAGGAATTTTTTTAAAGCTTCTGCTGCCTGAAGTTTGAAAATCCCTGGTGCACAGTGTGGGAATTCATAAAAGATTTAATATGCTTTAAGGAAAAAAGGGGGTGAGAACAATCCCTTCATTATCAACATTGCATCAGGCAGTATTACTAATTCTGTATTTTAATGAAATTGGTGGGCCACAACGCATTTGTATTCATCTGTGTTTAGTTTCATATTTTAGTTTGTTTAGCTTTTAAGGAGAAAATGTTTAATAAAAGTAGCAAATTAATTTACATTCACATTGTCCTCCAGTGCTCTGAAACCCATTTTGATGAAGCTGTTCTTTGCAACTAATTATCAAGCTTAAATGGGGGGGGGGGGACTCTGGGGACATTTGGTAATTCAAGGTTTCGGATTTCTTCTGTTCCACTATCAGTAATAGGTGGATGGAAAAAAGAGGAAATGAAATAGAGTTTTAGGAAGATGAAGAGAAATGCTCTTTTGACAAAGCATTCTGACTAGACTTTGTGTTCTCCAGAAGTTCATTCTTTTATCTTAGCACTTTTTTATTTGTGTCCTTTGACTCTGCACATTCTGATGTTTGCTTTCCTGGGAGTTCCATGGCACCTCAACTTCCATGTTGGGCTCTGCTGTAAGTTCTTAGCAACCACATAGATAAACTTTCTCCAGAATGACCTGTCCTCAACTTGGCCTATTCAGACCTTCAATAGTGCATTCATTGCTGTTGTAATCAAGTCATCCATCTTGCTGCTGGTCATTCTTTTCTCCAGTTTCCTTCCACTTTTCACAACATAATGAACATCTCAAGGGAGTTGGGTCTTTGCATAATATATCATCATTTGATTTCAAATGAGAACTCTGGATTGATTTGTTTTGTGATCCTTTTGATTGTTTTCTTGGCTATCCAAGAACATCCAAGACTCTTGACATTCTCAAGAGGCTGGAAAAGAGTCACTGTTCAAAAGCAACAACATTCTTTCTGTCCTACTTCTGCAAAGTCCAACTTTTGCTTCCATGGAATGTCACAGGGAATACCTTGTATGATTATGATCTATGTAGGTATAGACACATCCCAGTATTTCCAAGGCCTTCATAGCTACTCTACAAGTGTTAGTCTGTGGCGTATTTCTTGAGTACTGATGATAGTTGATCTTAAAGGAAGAAGCTATCCACCACTTTAATATCATCGTTGTCAATTCTGAGGCTAGTTGCTGTATCTGTTGTCATTTGTTTGGTCTTCTTTATATTTCATTCTTTATGTCTTTCCACTCATTTCCTTTTTTCACTTTTTGTCTGGAGTATCATCAAAAACAGTTAGACCTGCTACTGGGTGACATAGAACATAACACCAAGACAGAGGATGCAGTCAGAGTATTGAGCTTCCCCATGTTCATGCTCCTTATGTTCCATGTTCCCACCATAATTCTATTTCTGCAGCTTCAGATTTTTTTTTTCCTGCATGGTTAGATTAGCAACTAGACATCTGGGAAGCTTTTAGCTAACCATGTCATAAACACCATTAGTACTCTGAAAGATCCTCAACTCTTCTTCAGTAGCATGTGAGTGCCTCCCAACCTGAGGGGCCTATATCAACAATCACTGTATTTTGTCTATCCATTTGGTTTTCTTGGTAAACACAGGAATGGTTTGCCATGCCTTCTCCTAGGCAGTATGAAATGATGCCTTTATGGTTGTCACTAAAATGATCATCCACCTCCAGCATCTGCTTATTTTAGCTGGGCAGCTGGGGTGACCTTTACACCTTGAGTGACTCTACCAGAAGTATACACTCTTGGCATATACTCCTATTGTGTTTTGCTTATCCCTCCATGGAACATCTCCCCACCACAATGACGCAACATGGCAGGACTGGGGTGGACGTGGGGATAGAAACTTACCTAGGAACTTGGTGGAAATTATTTGGGGGGGGCAGACATACATATGATTGCCCCGTTAGGTTATTTTACTCCAGTATTTATCTTTTTGGCATTAAAATTCAGTCTCCATCTATCACTGTCTACCCTACCTTTGTAGAGGATTGGGAGTTGAGAGCAAACCAGAACTACAAAGGGTCCTGGAGCATCGTCGACGAAATCAGCTGATGAGACAGAAGAAAGAAGAAGAAGAGGCAAAGAAATTAAAATCTCCATTTGAACAAGAGCTCTTGAAGAGGCAACAAAAGCTTGATCAGGTAGAAATAATTGTGTGTTCTAAAAGACACAGAGATTTGTTCAGTAGTGTAGAGAGCCAGGGAGGTGGCCTTGAAGCCAACAGTCAGAAACCATTCTGTAAGCCAAAAGGACTACAGCATTCCCTAAGTCTTGGGAACAGAGACAGTATTAAGACATTCCCCTCCCTGACTCACTAGAGTATAAGGTGATAACCAGCATTTCAAATTGGACCCAAAAACCTACTGATAACCAGTGCAGTGACTTCAGAATCTGTGTTATTCTAAGTTTATGACACTGTCCTGCCAGAAGTCTAGCTGCCACATTTGTACCAGCTGTACCTTCCAGGTTGTTTCCAAAGGCAGCCCTATGTAGTCCAGTTGCAGTATTCCAGATGAATGGAGATCAAACTGTGACTTATGCCAGAGCATCTTGGTCCAGATAGAGCTGTAACTGGCACAACAGCTGAAGCTGGGCAAGGGTTCCCATAGCCATGGCTTCTACCTGCTGTTTAAACAGGAGCCAAGAGCCCTGAGCAAGCCCCAAGCTTTGAGGGAATCATGACCCCATCCACAGTTACTTCCAGGGTCAACATAATTAGATTTCCCTGATGTTGATTAATGACAAGCAACTCCATCTTGGAAAGATTTAATTTGAGCTTGTTTTGCCCCAGCCAGATCCTCACAGCCTACAGGACTTTCATAGCATTTCTGGCTTAGCCCAGAGTGATGATATATAACAGTGTCATGACTATCTTGAGGACAGCTCATCCCAAAGCACTAAATGACCTCCTCTGGTAATTTCAAATAGATGCTAAAATAACATGCCAGAGAGCACCAAACCCTGAGGCGTTCCACACTGGTGTTCCTAAGGTTTGGGGCACTGCCCCCCATGATAACTGACTAAAACTGCTCACTAAGGTAGGAGTGCCCTCAACTACCAACCTTGCAGGTGTCCCAGAAGGATAAAATATAAATGTAGCACTCCATCCTTACATTATAAGCAGCCCACCCTTTCTCCACAATTGGTTGTGTAAATTTAACCATCTTTCTGCTAAAACTATCAGCCGAACACAAAATTGACAACTTTGAGTGAGGGCTTTGGTCAACATTACTATTAGAACCTGCATTAGAGTCTGAATGGAGAGTAGCAACATAAAATTTATCTGATCTACCATGGAAAATTGTTAAAAGGGAGTAATGAAAAAATGATACCTATTTAAACCAGGCAGTGCAGCAGCCCGTGATCTACAATTTCAATCATTTCCATTTGATACGGAGAGAGGATTTGGGCATCAGGGACTTGTGTAAGTCTCCACTTCATTATGTTAGAGGGCAAAGCATCCAAACAGGCCAAAGGAAAGGCTCTTTGGAACTTGGGGACTATAAAACTAGAGAGATAATATGCTGGAATAAAGTTTCTCTTTTGATTCCTAATTGCCAAACAGCATGAAATTAAGCTCCTGCATCTTTGAGTTTCCACATACTAAATTCTTTGTCTGATGTTCTCTTTGGCCTTAAACAGGCCAGGCATCAAATTCCAGTTTCTGTTAATCAACAATAGTGGCCATTCTGGGGTTGCATAACACACAAGACCATTCCTGCTTAATATGTCATAAAACACAACCAAACTGTAACTCTACTTTGCATCATGGACTGATGCCTCCATAATGAGGTTCTCTCCCCTCTATCCTTATTTTTATTATTTACAATAATTTGTAACCTTTTTCTAAAGCAAAATATTTAACATTTTGTTTATATTTAAGTTAGATGAATACTGATTTCTGTGCAGGTAAGAGGATGGAGCATACCTTTGACTAGGAGCTCTAGGTGGGATTGCTGAGAAGAGCGGGAAAAAAGAAGCAACATTTTCCAATGCAACAAACCCAGCTAAGGGTTAATTTTGTAGCTCTCTGGAGGAAAAAGGATAAATATTAGGAAATAATTGATTTTTTTTTTAAACTTCAGAAAGAGATTTAAACATGCACAATTGCATGAGGATTCTTTACTTCTGAATCCTTATTACTGGGCACAATTAGAGACAAATTTTGAACTCTGATTTCCACTTTCCAGCAGTTGCTGTACCAAGAAAATGGAAATGACCTTATGGCACTGATTGAACTGAAAATGAAAGCTGATGAATGACTCGAAGCCAGGGTTTCTCAGCCTTGGCAGCTTTCAGATGTGTGAACTTCAACTCCCAGAATTCCCTAGCCAGCCTTGAATTCTGGGAGTTGAAATCCACACATCTGAAAGCTGCCAAGGTTGAGAAACACTGCTCTAAGCTATTAGTTGCCTAATAACAGGGTTGAGAATTCAACTAACCCTTTAGATTCTAAATTGTGAATAGCATAAAACATGTTTGGTTCAGTGGCTGGATACAGATGGTGACACTTAAGGCGAGTTGTTTGTATCCTCACTAAGTGACATTTCACATCGCCTGTAAATTTCCCTTAAAAGTTCTGTCTGGTCTGCCATTTCCTGTAACTAATAGAAGTTGTTAGGATTAACAAAATCTACAAAAATATCTACTATTTACCTATTTATTTCTTCTGCCTTTATTTTATCAGCTGGAAAGGGAAGACGAGAAGCAAGAAGAGAATGCACCAGAATTTATTAAAGTCAAAGAAAATCTGAGGAGAACATCTACACTAACTGGGGCAGAGAAAATTGTATAGCAAGGCATCAACTAAGATCAAAATAGATTAAGATCATCTGCTTTGAATACCTACATGCTGACATTTTGGTAAACAGTGGACATTCAAAGTTATGTCTTTGGGGCTACTTATTGTACATTAATGCTTGCTCCAGTAAAAAAATTGATTGGGGCATTTTCACATCTGGGAAAAAAAGAACATCTAAACATTGTGGCTTTTTTTCACAAGAATCCTCAGATGAGAAAAAGGTAAGGGAGGTAATAGAGATCTAGCCTTCCTTTCAAGTACTGGGATAATGCTGGCGCTCTTTCCCATCACTAACCCTTGGCAAATCCTTTGAGGTTCAGCAGGACCAGTGCACGCATGGAATGGGAGATGCTGTCTGTAGAGAAAGAGATAGCTAAATATTTGGGACTTCAAGCTGTTATAGAGCAGAGCAATTCCGTTGCTGGTTTTGAAATCTTCAGTTTAGCTAAATTAACGCTTGAGGGAGCAAGTTAGAAAACTAAAAAAGATGGTAAAAAGGGAAGTGATGATCAATAGGGGAAGTGCTAGCTAAGATTTAGAGCACATCTGCCTATACGGGCACCGTGGGTGCTGTATCCAAGCAACAATATCCAGCAAATAGGTATGTGTTTCTTCATTACTGGGACATAGCAGCCCTGTGCTGGCTTCTGTCATAAAATGATGTTCAAGATCCTTGTCACAAATCAGCATCCATGACAGTCGTATAGTCAAGTTTACTATGACAAAAGGATATTGAGTTATTTCCAAATAGTGGGAGAGTCCACAAGTCTTTCAGCATCTGGTTCTGGTCTCCAGAATGAGAGGCAGAAATAAGGTAATGTACTTTCTGGAAAGGATCTTTACGAGCTGCAGAAGGTGCAGTCCTCTGAATTATCTGGGTAAAAACACAGAAAACATAGATCTACATGTATGTTTCAAAAAAGCGACTGACAAATCCACAAAAAAGGATTAGTGAGGGAAACAGCAAAGAATTCTGGGGAGAAGGTCAAGGAACAATGCCAGATGTAGTGTCTTCTGACTTTTGAACAAATATAACACATTAAAGTAAGATTCTTTTTTTAAAAAATCTAATCAAATTGAAGATTATTTGTAGATTATAGCCAGATGAGGTCTACTCCTTCCTGGAGCCCTTTCCTGTTTCTAAAATCCTGTGAACAAGATGCTTACTATAAAGATGCTTATTATAGTATAGGCTGTTTGAAATTATTTTTTTTTAAATATATGACAACAGCAAGGCAAAAAGGGTGAGTGGCCAACCTCTCTTCAACTCTGTTTTCTGGAGGTGAAGTCAGGAGTAGCCAACATGTCTATCCAATGGAGCACCACTCCCTGTTGGTTTTCAGGATAGCTGTGTTAGTTTTTTACAGCAAAAAACAAGAGGCTTATTTTAAAGATTTCTTAAAATATCACAAGATTCTTTGTCATTCACTTAATCTTGGAGTGAAGATAAACATAACCAAAAGCCACAATAGCTTTTAGTTTCACAATTTATATGACAGATTATGGTCAGCTTTTCTGGTAGGGAGGGCCCTCTGAGATGCAGATGGCTGTTCCACTGGGAGGGACAGGCCAAAGTAATACATAATTCATATTATCATCTAGAACTCATATGACTTAATTGTAACCACAGATTTTTTTTGAGGGGGGAGCTTATTAATAAAGAGCAATTGTATATTTTGTGGAGTCTATATTCTGTGAATTAAAGCAGGCAACAACCAAATAAACTAATTTTACTTTTTAAAAGTAGTAATAAAGTTGTCAGATTTATGAACTTCTAAAGCTACCCCTTTGGAGGGATCAAGAGGCTGTTTTTCTTTTCATGAACCTCATGCCTTCCATGCTGCTTCTAAGAGGCAGGTAGATGTGTTGGGATTGTAACATTATGCCAAGAAATCTGGGAACCCAATCTCAAGATTGGAAGGGTTATGTTGGAGCACCATTTGCAAATGGGACTATTGGGAGATGAGAGCCAGAGAGAAGAAAATAAGCAGAATGTAACAAGAAGAAGAAATCCCTGGATTTCCAAGATGACAAAGCAGAGTTGCTAGGCTTGAATTTGGCTAAAGCCTCACAAACATGACATGGCAGAGTTAGACAAGGATCTTGAGTGGATATTACAATGAAGCTGTATGAAACAGCATGTGGCCCTGTGTCAGAATGATGCTGTAGATTCCTTCTGCTCTAGGGCATTTCAGATCTGGTGGCCTTGAAGCTGAGTGGTTGCTTACTGTTTATACAGTAAGCTGGCTTTAGGTTTGCCTCTCCTACTTGTCTTGAAGCTATTCTCTGGATGCGTAAGACAGCCTTTACCTAGTGAATGGGTTCATACATGGTTTGCTTACACATGATATATTGAATAAACCACAATTGGCTGGGTTATTCACTCAGCAAATACTCTGCCGAACACAATGAATACATTTTTAGCTTGCTAGGGCTACCATATCTGGACTACAAAAGCCATTAGAAGACAACAAAGGCTGGTGTTTTCTGTATCTCTCTGCTGCTGTCTAGTGATCCTTTGGATTTTTGCAAATATGATAGCTCTGCAAATCACACTGAGCCATAATGTGGTCTTTGATTTTAGCTTAGCACAATGTAGAGATGTAGTAAGACTTGCATAAGCTTATCTGTTTAGACTGAGAGATGTTCTCCAGGATCTCTGGACTATTCACTGCTACCACGGATTGAGCACTGTGATCGTATGTCTCAAAAACGTGCTCTGTTTGCCACAGGTATTCTTCTGTCTTGCAACCCTGATCTGCAATGTTCAATCCATGCTACACTTTCATCAGAAAATATGAGGATGCATTGCCCTGTTGATGCACTGGGAGCAGCAGTGGAGGCTGATCCTCATGGTGGTGATACTTCTGTCGTGTTTAGTGACCTGTCCAGAAGGAAAAAAAAGGCAGCGTGGGTCCAAAACCATTTCCAGGACAAAGGGGAGAAAAAAAAACAGTATTTCTTAAATAACTGGAGGAAAGTATATTAACCTGGCTGTCTGGATGAGCCATACATATTGGGCTATTAGATCCTGTCTTAATGAATTCAGTATGTAAGCAGGAGTGCTTGGAAATATGATACAGATGCACCAACTTTCCCACTGCCACGTCTAGTTTAGCATTTTGGAATTTTGGGGGGGAAGGAAGTAACATGAGCTTTGCATTCTTTAGGGCATTGCTTCCATAAAGGCTCATTAGCAGAGCTTCCTCTTTCTATATGGAAAGTCCAACTTTCCATCTCTTTGAGGCAAGGCATCTACAATCAAGTCATTTCTCTGACCAAGCCACATGCCTGAATCTTCTGCTAAGCTCATATCTGCATTCTCAAGAGGATATTTATGTCTGGGCCCACAGAGTAAGAGGCTGGGTCAAAATGACTCCTTGAGCAGATTATTTCAGCCTTTTTCTCTTTAGTTGGGGCCAGGAGCTGGGAGATTATGGTAAACTTTGAAGCAGTTTAACACACATATTTCATTCTCACATAAGTACACCATAAAAGCAAACTCTCACTAAATTTCCATGCTATAGTTGAGGGCTCAGGGGGCTATAGAAATTAGGCTAGGGGCTGCATGTAAGCCATAGTTGCCTGCTCCTGCTCTTCTCCTGCTCTGCTGGATGGACTAGGTTCACACATTACACTGAGCCATGGTTTGTTTTCCTTGTTTTTGCCTTAGTTTGTTGTGTGAACCCACCACTGTGGTTTGAAAATCATGATTTATAGCTTAGCATTATTTATTTATTTATTTATTTATTTATT